GTCTTCTTACAGCTAGCCAATTTCTGATCCAAACCGCTACATCACCCTCAATCCCATGCCTCCGTATTTTCTGCAATAGCCTACCATGGGGAACATTATCAAACGCTTTACTGAAATCCATATACACCACATCAACCGCTTTACCCTCATCCACCTGTTTGGTCACCTTCTCAAAGAACTCAATAAGGTTTGTGAGGCACGACCTACCCTTCACAAAACCGTGTTGACTATCCCTAATCAAATTATTCCTTTCTAGATGATTATAAATCCTATCTCTTATAATCCTTTCCAACACTTTACCCACAACCGAAGTAAGGCTCACTGGTCTATAATTACCAGGGTTGTCTCTACTCCCCTTCTTGAACAAGGGGACAACATTTGCTAGTCTCCATTCTCCAGTTTCCACCTTTGCTGCTTTTAACAGCCTGGGCGAATTTCATCCAGCCCTGATGATTTATTCACTTTCAACGATGAACTGCTATTTTTGATCCTTAATTCAATCCATATGGCCTCATTTCATGATTCTTTTAACGTATGTTTCCAACTCACAACAACGCTTGTTTCTTTGATGAAAACCTCCAACTTCACCCTAACCCTATTTGTTTATCCCCTTCTCTATCTGTACATGGAAGCAGAAACAGGGAGCTGTCGTTGCTGTCCCTCATTACATGTCTCTGTAAAGTCATGATGCCAAACTGCTATCTTTCTGTTTGGCCTTAGCTCACCTGCTTCATTCGCTAAACACGTTGCATTGAAACCCTCAAGCACGGCCAAACTTTTAAAAATCTTTTCTGGCCTTGGTTTCGTTTGCCTACCAGACTCATTTCATAATTGTTTGCTTTCCATTTTGATTTCTGATTTTGTTCTCACTGAATCTCCTCTCCAGTCCTCAACCCCCCCCGACCAAACTCCCTGCCTCCACCAGTCCCATCTCCCTCTAATGCTACTCCCAACACCCCAGAAATGTAAACCCTCCCTCCAAATGTCCAACCACAGATTCATCTGCCTTGTTCTGTTGTTGTGTTCTCTTGTGCTTGGCATTCAGACTGATTGGGAGGCTAGTACTTCGTTTCCTGCTGGCTGATTTTCTTAAATTCTGACTGCAGGACATCATCCCTTTCTAACCCTTTGTAGCCAATTCTGATGTGGACCGGAACAGCTTGCTGTTCATTCTCTCTCTTCCAGGTGCTGTGCAGTAGGTCAGCGACAGCTTTAACCCTGGCAGCATGTAGGCCAAAGGCTGCTCTGCATTTACAGCCGCTAACTCTCTCTCCGGTGTTTCTGGCTGGGTAGTGCTCTGTGTGGCGCTCATGCACTATTTAGCCCTTTGTGATTGCCTGGTGGCCACTCTGTCCCTATGCTCAGCTCACATCTGTAACCCTGTGATCCAGGTCCCTCTCAGCCTCATGGGTGTACTGCTGAGACACCAGCTGCTGCTCAAATTCCCAAAACCCGGAACTTGAATTGCTGCATCCAGCAATGCCTCCCACACAAAGACTTTTCCAAGACAATGGGAATGGCCTGGAGTGTCTGCAAGATGGGCCGTTTTGAGGTACCAGCAGCTTTCCATTGCTGTACTACGGAGTTAACCCTGCTCCTGCTAAAATTCCCTACCAATACCTCTTAACACTGTACTGTACAATACCACATGCTCACACTGATAGGCCCTCCAAAATGTATGTTAATTACTGATTAGTTACATAGCTGTTGTATTCGAAGAGCGACTCACACTTTCTTGGGGACAAAGGGAGAAAACTTCACCATCGAAGAGAGGCTGAGGGATGCAGTAAGAGGAAGGGAAGCTCTTGCTTCCGTGATCACTCTGTCCACAGGTCACTCAGGTCTAGTATCCCGACAGGACATCCAGGTGTGGTCTCCTGACTGGAGGACTCCTTGGGCCTTAGCAGAGGCCAAGAGGCCAAATATTACATCAGCTATCAGGCATCGAGAAGAGGTCATTGAGCACACTTTCTCCTTACTGGCGTTTCTGCTCCACTCAAGTTGCCTCTTATCTTTCTTCATTTAAATTTAACATTACTACAGAATTTCAGATTATTATAGTGCAGAAGGATGCCATTCAGCCCAATATGCCTATACCAATTCTATCCCTTAGTGCCAATCTCCTGCCTTTTTCCCATATTCCTGCCCACCATTTCTATCCAAATAACTATCCAATTCCCTTTTGAATGCCTCTGTTGAACTTGCCTCTACTATATTTGCAGATAATATATTTCAGACCCTAACTACTTGCTTTTGTAATAAAAGTTCTCTCTCACACTACTCTTGCCGCTTTTGCACATCATGTTAAATCTGTGCTGTCTCAATCTTGTTCCTTTTATGAGCATGAACAGCTTCTCACTATCTACTCTATCCAACCCCAACTTAACAACCCTTGCAACTTGTCCCACTATCTTAAGGGAGTAGTGTACACACACACCAAGGCCCATCAGATCTTCAGTGCTTCCCAGAGTCCTACAGTTCATCATGTATTCTCTTGCCTTGTCTGTCCTGCCAAAGTTCATCACCTCACACTTATCCAGATTGAATTCCATTTGCCGTTGATTAGCCCATCTGACCAGCCCACCTATATCCTCCTGTAATCTAAGTCTATCCTCCTCACTATTTACCGCCTTGCCAATTTTTGTATCTTCGTAAAATTGCTAATCAACCTTACTACATTTGAGTCTATATATAGACACACCACAAACAGCAAGAGCCCCAACACTGGTTCCTGTTAAACTGCAATGGTCACAGAGTTGCAGTCACAAAAACATCCCTGAACCATCACCCTCTGCTTCCTGCCACTCAGCCAGTTCTGGATCCAATGTTTCCTTGGATCCAATGGGTTCTTAACCTGAGCTGTCAGATTTTCATGCTGGACCTTATCAAAAGACTTGCTTAAGTCCAAATAGACTATGTTGAGTGCATTTCCCTCATCTACACACCTGGTCACCTGTTTGAAAAATTCAAAGAACTTGGTCAGACATGACCTCCCCTTAACAAAACCACTCTGTCTGTTCTTAATGAATCCCTGCCTCTCCAAATGCAGATCAATCCTGTCCATCAGAATTGCTTCCAAGCTTCTCCACCACAGAGTTTATACTGACACTCCTGTAATTGCCTGGTTTATCCTTTGCTCCCTTCTTGTTTGGATTGGGGTGGACAAGGTCAAAAATCACACGACACCAGGCTACAGTCCAACAGGTTTATTTGAAAACACGAGCTTTCATAGCATTGCTCCTTTGTCAGGTGTAGTGAGAGAGGATGCACCAAGACACAGAATTTATAAGTAAAAGATCAAATGGTCATACAACTGATGCGAATGTGTTGAATAAACCTATAATGGCTGGCTGACTCCCTCCTGTTAAATCTTCAATCAGTTAGAAAGGGCTCATTGATGCCACACTCGGTCGAATGCAGCCTCGATATCAAGGGCTGTCACTCTCACCTCACCTCTGGAATTCAGTTCTTTTGTCCATGTTTGAACCAAGGCTGTAATGAGGTCAGGAGCTGAGTGGCCCTGGCGGAACCCAAACTAGGCATCACTGAGCAGGTTATTGCTGAGCAGGTGCTGCTTGATAGCACTGTTGCTGACACCTTCCATCACTTTACTGATGATCGAGAGGAGACTGATGGGGCAGTAATTGGCCGGGTTGGATTTGTCCTGCTTTTTATTTCCGGACATACCTGGGCAATATTCGACATTGTAGGGTAGATGCCAGTGTTGTAACTGTACTGGAACAGCTTGGCTAGGGGAGCAGCAGAATGTGGAGCACAGGTCTTCAGTACTATTGCTGGAATGTTGTCAGGGCCATAGACTTTGCAGTATCCAGTGTCTCTAACCATGTCTTGATATCACTGATGTGCTGGGCTCTCCCATCATTGAGGATGGGGATATTTGTGGAGCCTCCTCCTCCAGTGAGTTGTTTAATTGTCCACCACCATTTATGACTGGATGTGGCAGGACTGCAGAGCTTAGATCTGATCTGTTAGTTGTGGGATCAGTTAGCTCTCTATCACTTGCTGCTTTTGTTGTTTGGCGTGCAAGTAGACCTGTTTGGTGGCTTCACCAGGTCAACACCTCACCTTTAGGTCTGCCTGGTGCTGCTCCTGGCATACCCTCCTGCACTCTCCATTGAACCAGGGTTGATCCCCTGGCTTGTTGGTAATGGTTGAGTGGGGGATATGCCGGGCCATGAGATTTCTGGGTTACTCATCCAGCAACAATAACTCCTCAGCTCATACATTAGAGCCTGGGAGCAGTTACTGAAAAGTGGATTGTCTGGCAACAAACTCTATGAAGAACAGATTGTTGTGAGCCTGGTATCAAGGAGGTGCTAAAGCCCCAAATATTACATCACTGTAGTTTTTCCTTCCCCTCCTCCTCTAACAAAAAAAAAATGGGCGAGAGAGTTGTGTTATTGAAAATTTGTTGGTAGCAAAAAGTATAGATAACCTCAGGTAAAGTCCTTATAACTTTCATCTTTAGTCTAAGAGCAATTGAGATGGTAGTTAGAGCAGTGGCATGCTCCTCCTTCAGGATGTGGGAGCTCAGGGAGACTTCCACTGTCCCTGATGACTACCCCTGTGGGAAGTGCACCCAGCTGCAGACATTGGGACACCGTGTTAGGGACCTGGAGCTGGATGCATTCAGGATCATCTGAGATGCTGAGGGCATCATAGATAAGAGTTTGAATGAGGTGGTCACGCCTAAGGTGCAGGCAAAGAGTAGCTGGGTGACCACCAGGAAAGGCAAAGGGAGTAGGCAGAGAGAGCAGGAATCCCCTGTGGCCATTCCCCTCGAAAATAAGTATACTGTTTTGGATGCTGTTGTGGGGGCTGACCATTCAGGGGAAAGCAGCAGTAGCCAGGTCGGTGACACTATGACCGGCTCAGGGTTACAGTGGGAAAGGGTAAAGGTAAACAGGACCTTAGTGATGGGACACTCAATAGTGAGGGGGACAGACAGGAGACTGTGTGGCTGCAGACGGGAATCCCGGATGTCTCGGAACGGCTTCAGAACGTTCTCAAAGCGGGAGAGTGAGCAGCCAGAAGTCAGTGTGCACATTGGCACAAATGACATGGGTAGAAATAGTGATGAGGTTGTGCAGAGTGATTATAGAAAGCAAGGAAAAATGTTAAAAACCAGGACCTTAAAGATGGTAATCTCAGGATTACTTCCAGTGCAACGTGCTAGTGAGGATAAGAACAGGAGGATCTGGCAGATGAATGCATAGCTAAAGAATTGGTGCAGGGAGCAGGGATTCTGGATCATTGGGATCTTTTCTGGAGCAGAGGTGACCTGTTCAAGAGGGGCGGGTTGCACCTGAACTGGAGGGGGATCCAATATCCTGGTGGGCAGATTTGCGCATGCTGCAAGGGAGAGTTTAAACTGGATTGGCAGGGGATGGGATCCTCCACAGCAGGGAAGCAAGTGTGAGGCTGGAAGGCAAGACAGTAATCAGAAATAAAAAGTTGAAGAGACAGGTCAGGCTGGAACAGGACAGGGAGCGAGGAATGCCTGCTGGATTAAATTGCATTTACTTCAATGCAAGATGGCTGACAGGTAAGGCCGATGATCTCAGGGCATGGATAGGTACATGGGGCTGCAATATTATAGCCATTGCAGAAACCTGGCTAAGGGAGGGACAGGACTGGCAGCTTAATGTGCCAGGGTACAGGTACTTTAGGCCAGACAGAGGTAGAAGAAAGAGGGAACGGGGAGTTGCATTTTTGATTAAGGGGAGTATCACAGCAGTAGTCCGAGATGAAATAACTGAGGGATCATCCAGTGAAGTTTTGTGGGTGGAGTTAAGAAATAAGAAGGAGATAGTGACATTATTGAGGTTGTACTATAGGCCGCCAAATAGTCAACGGGAATTAGAGGAACAGATATACAGGGAGACTGGGGAGACTTGCAGGAGCAATAGGGTTGTCATAGTGGGGGATTTTAATTTTCCTAACATAGACTGGGACTGCCATAGTGTTAAGGGCTTAGATGGGGTGGAATTTGTTGAATGTGGTCAGGAAAGTTTCCTCAAGCAGTATATAGCGGGTCCTACTTGGTAAGGGGCAAAACTTGACCTACTATTGGGAAATAGGGCAGGACAGGTGACTGAGGTGACAGTTGGGGAGCACTTTGGGACCAGTGACCATAGTTCTATTAATTTTAAAATAGTTATGGAGAAGGACAAAACTGGTCCACAGTTTCAAGTTCTAAATTGGGGCTAGGCGAATTTTGATGGAACTAGACAGGAGTTTGCAGGGGTTGATTTGGGTAGTTTGCAGGCAAAGGGACCTCTGGCAAGTGGGAGGCCTTTAAAAGTGTGATCGCTAGAGTTCAAGGTCTGTATGTTCCCGTGAGGGTGAAGGGAAATGTTGACAGGAGTAAGGAACCCTGGATGACGAGAGATATTGAGGCTTTGACCAGAAAAATGGAGGAGGCATGGTTCAGGTACAGGTAGCTGGGATCAAGGGAATAGCTGGAGGTATATAGAGGATACAGGAGTTTACTGAAGAAGGAAATCAAGAGGGTGAAAAGGGGGCACAGGATAGCTTTGGCTGAGAAGATTAGGGTGAATCCAAAGAGATTGTTTAAGTATATTAAAGGAAAAATAATAAGTAGAGAGAGAATAGGATCCCTCAAGGACCAAAGTGGACATCTATGTGTGGAACCATAGGAGATGGGCAAGGTCCTCAATCAATATTTCTCCTCTGTGTTTGCCATGGAGAAACACACTTTTTTTATTCATTAATGGGATGAGGATGTTGTTGGCCAGGCAGCATTTATTGTCCATCCCTAATTGCCCAGAGGGCAGTTCAAAGTCAACTCCATTGTTGTGGGTATAGAGTCACATATAGGCCAGACCAGGTAAGGATGGCAGTTTCTTTCCCTAAAGGACATTAGTGAACCAGCTGGGTTTTTCCTAACAATCAACAATGGATTCATGGGCATCATTACATTCTTAATTCCAGATATTTTACTGAATTCAAATTCCACCATCTGCCGTGGCGGGATTCGAGCCTGGATTCCCAGAACATTATCTGGATCTCTGGATTAACAGTCCAGAAATAATACTACTAGGCCATTGCCTCCCCATTGGCTTGGAGGCTTGGGAACTTGGGGAAGTTTATGGCGATATCCTGGGGACAGTCCATATCACAGTAGAGAAGGTGTTGGAAGTATTACAATGTATGAAGGTGGATAAATCTCCTGGTCCTGATCAGATACATCCATGAACCCTGCAAGAATCTGGAGAGGAAATTGTGGAGGCCCTGGGTGACATATTTGCATCATCATTAGCCATGGGTGAGGTCCCGGAAAACTGGAGGGCAGCAAATGTTGTGCCCTTATTCAAGAAGGGATGCAAAGAAAAGCCTGGGAACTACAGACCAGTAAGCCTAACATCTGCGGTAGGTAAGTTACTTGAGAAGATTCTGAGGGATAAACATGTGTTTGGAAAGACAGGGTTTGATTAGGAGTAGTCAGCATGGCTTCGTGTGTGGAAGTCATGCCTCACAAATTTGTTAGAGCTCTTTGATGAAGTGACCAGGAAGGTTGATGAGGGCAGGGCGGTAGACATAGTCTATATGGATTTCAGTAAGGCCTTTGATAAGGTTCCACATGGTAGGCTGCTCTGGCAGGTTAGATCGCATGGAATCCAGGGAGAGCTGGAAAATTGGATACACAATTGGCTTGATGGTAGGAAACAGAGGGCCATAGTGGAAGGATGCTTGATGGACTGGAGGCCTGTGACTAATGGTGTGTCTCAGGTGTCGGTGCTAGGCCCATTGCTGTTTGTTACCTATATCAATGATTTGGATGAGGCATGGTTAGTAAGGTTGCGGATGACACTAAAATAGGCGGTATCGTGGACAGTGAGGAAGGTTATCGGAAATTTCTGCAGGATCTTGATCAGCTGGGGAAGTGGGCTGAGAAATAGCAAATGGAGTTTAATATACATAAGTGTGAGGTGTTGCATTTTGGAAAGGTAGGCATCTCATGGTGAATAATAAGGCCCTAAGGAGTATCATGGAACAGAAGGACCTTGGAATTCAGGTACACAGTTCTCTGAAAGTGGAGTCACAGGGAGACAGGGAAGTGAAGAAGGCTTTTGGCACACTGGCCTTCATCAGTCAGGACATTGGGTATAGAAGTTGGGAAATTATGTTGCAGTTGTACAGGACATTGGTGAGGTCACACTTGAAGTATTGTATTCAGTTTTTGTCACCTTGCTATAGGAAGGATGTCATTAAACTGGAAAGAGTGCAGAAGAAATTTACAAGGACGTTGCCTGGAGTAAAGGGATTGAGTTACTGGGAGACACTGGACAAGCTAGGACATTTTTCTTTAGAGTGTAGGAGACTGAGTGGGGGTGGGGGTGGGTGGAATCTTACAGAAGTGTATAAGATGATGGGAGGTCTGGATAGGGTGAATACACTCAGTCTTTTTCCCAGGGTTGGGGAATCTAGGACTAGAGGGCATCAGTTTAAGGGAAGAGGGGAAAGAATAAATGGGAACCTGAGGGGCAACTTTTTTACACAGAGGGTGGTACACATATGGATTGAGCTGCCAGTGGAAGTGGTTGAGGCAGGTACATTAACAACATTTAAAAGGCATTTGGACAAATACATGGAAAGGAAAGGTTTAGAAGGATATGAGCCAAGTGCAGGGAAATGGGGTTAATGTGGATAGACATTTTGGACAGTATGGACCAGTTTGGGCCAAAGAGCCTGTCTCCGTGCTGTAGGACTCTATGACTCTATGACTCAATGACTATGCCTGGCCTCCCTCCACCATACCTATGGTATGTTTTTCCTTAAGAACGCCTCAAAGTTGATGCTTTATTGGAGAAGTTCGGAATGCATGAAGAATCCAAGGAATCTCTGTTGGTCTTTATCTTCTGGGAGATTTGTGTCATTTGTGTCATATCTTTGACCTGGCTTGTGTTGGGCTGGCCAATAACATTAAACCAACTTCCTCTCACTGACAATGTGAGCCCTTTTCTGCGAGTGAAGATTCTGAGCATGCTCAGTCCCATCTTATTGCTGTTAATGCACACCATCTGGCACTTTCTCTGTAATTCTGTCCATACACTGCTTGAACCGATCCTGAACTGACCAATTGACTAAATAGTCATTGCTAGAAGTCACATGGCCATCTGACCTTATGAGATTTCATTGTGGATTCCTTCCCTTATGCTGATCTAGCACACAGCAAAGATTCACGAGATGCCACATGTAATCACCCAGCTTGCTTGCTGTTTCTGACCTTGTTACCATGCTGCTACTGTTTACTGAGCCTAGTGTTTGATGCTGTTATCCGGCTAAAATCACTTTGTATCTTTTGGTATCATGAATCAATGCTGTAACCTTTGTTTTTTCCAACAAGTCCTTCTGGAACACTTTGGTGAGTGTTGGAGCAAACCCCAACTCCATTATTTGCTCTAAAAGTTCAGTCTCTGAAAAATCATGCTCATTGACTTTGTTCCGATAATTATTGATAAATTGATTTATTGATCCCTTTGGCTGTTGCCTGTAGGCCATCAATTCTAAGTGACAAATTTTAAAATTGACTCTTACAAACAGGTGACCATCTAATGCTTTCCATACCTCTGTGGGATCTTTCTGGCCCTTATTTAATAAGACCAATGTATTGAGTCTGTATTACCTCCCGTTACTAAGTGTTACCTGATTTTTTTGCAGCTTGTTTAACTGATTCAGCATTACTTGCTTTATGAAGCAAACTCTGTTGAAAAAGTTTGAATTTTGATAAGGCATCCATGACCTTTTGCTTCACATGGGGATTTTGTATCCATTCTCCTGCTGCTCTTTTGTCATTTTGAGGCACTCTTAACACGTAATAATGCATCCGTTGTAAGTTTTAGGTTACAATTTAAACATTTTACATTTTGATCTATTTACTCACTTGAAGTTTTAACCATTCAGGTAACAGGAGACTGGCATGTGAGGCATTTCAGGAACCTTTCTTAAATAATAAAATCAGTTTTTATTATTATTACTAATTTGTGGGGTGAGGGTGTCGCTGGCTGGCCCAGCATTTATTGTCCATTCCTAATTGCCCAGAGGGCAGATAAGGGTTAACCACATTGCTGTGGGTCTGGAGTCACATGTAGGGCTGACCTGGCGAGGATGGCAGATTTCCTTTACTGAAGGATATTAGTGAACCACTGTGTTTTTTTTCAGTCAACAGTGATTGCACAGTTACTGTTAGACTAGCTTTTTATTCTAGACTTTTATTGGAATTAAATTTCATCACCTACCTTGGTGGAATTTAAGGTCATAGTCCCTGAACATCAGCTGGGGGTTGCAGACAATTGATACATTGACATTACCATGATGTGTGATACTTAACAAAGCAGGCCCATGATTGTCCAGGTTTACTGTGGTCCTCGCTGCCTGGTTCAGATTAAGGCACATGTTGACACTCAGCCTCTGGTCTCGCTCCACCAACTTCTGAGCAGGCAGGTGGCCTCAGAAAACACCAGCTTCGACACAGAGCATGCTTTGTTCACGGGGAGCTGCTGCTTTCGAACCCTCTCCCACAGAGTGATTAATGCTGTCACTAACGTTAATTGCTGTGGTGAGCGAGGCTAATTTTAAACTGGTTTTAAGGACGCTAGATCAATCTCTAATTGGGCTTTTAAGAGGAGTAGTCATTGACATTTTGTATTTATTCATGGGATGTAGGCATCATTGGCTTGGTTGGCATTTATTGTCCATCCCAAATGGCCCCAAGGCACTTTATAATAAAAAATAACTTACAATTAAATTTAAAACTAATGCAGGAAAGCAGACGATGCTTAAAACCAATACAGTATAAACAATCTGAGTGCATAATGGACAAGATATACTTATTCAGTTAAAAGTCCAAAGGATTACACAGGCACAGACCACACACCTAATGAACTTAACTTTAATGTGTACAATATACTTAGCAAAATAAGATTGCTTCTCTTTCTCTGAAACACTACAGATTAGAACTAACCCAACACAGTGCACAGCTGTCATTTTTATTGCCAGACAATAAGCCATTTTTAACTCTCCCCTGATAACAACAACTTCAGACACTTGATAAAAATGAAAGCTCATTCCTGTTTGACAGGCTTCCACTCTGTCCTGTAACGATAAGTACAGCAGGTGCCCTTTCGTTCAAACATGATTCTATGCTGCTCCCAATGCGCTTGAATTGAGGTTTGTTGTAATATTGTTCAACACATGACTGACTCCCGAAACTCCTAAAATTGTAAATAGCAACTAGATAGATCCAGACAGCTGCTTGCCTGCCTTTCCCCAACTGAGTGCACTCATAGTTTGTGATTTGAGGCTTGTTCTCTTCTGTTTCCTGTACTTTGGGATCTTCTGGATTGCTGTTACATAGTCCTGAAGAAGTGTCATACCAGATTTGAAACATTAACTCTTGTTTCTCTCTGCATAAATGCTGCCAGACCAGCTGAGTTTCTCCAGCATTCTCTGTGTTTGTGGCTGTTATATATCATATGTTCCTTCTTCCCTTGATCTTCAAATTTATATGTCTGATTTTGCTTTTCTGCTTTTTTAGTTTTCAGTGAACAATCGCTGCTCCTTGCTGTGTGGTATGTCCTTGTTGTTTCTGGATGTAACACAAACAAGGTATACATGGATTCCATTTGGGAATCTGTGGGTTTATTTCAAACTAAACTAATATAGACAGTACAGAATAAGCTCTCGACACAAATTTTGCGAAGCTTGCTCCAATGCTCCTGGTCATATGATGATATCTTGGTAACTTGGGTTATCTGCAGGTTGAGCTTCTTGATGTATATCAGACGAAAAGTGATAACACTCATCAACGTCTGGTAACTTTCTTTGAGGATAACATCTTGCAGAAAGGTGAGCTCAGTCATGACAGTCAACCTCAGGAAGTGTCACTATCTCTGGGCAACATGACAGCTCTACATCAGCTCCAACACATCCTGGTGAGGCTGACACAAGGTGTCAAGCTCAGGCTGAGCATACCCATGCCAGCATGGAAATCTCCCAGCATTCACTGTCCAATCAGATGTGAAGGATTACTACACTACCACACTCTCGCTCCAGAACCACTGGAACCATTTCACCTTCTATCGAACCTGCCGAGAATCTGGAATTCTCCTCAGTCACGTGTGGTAGGTGTCAGCCCCATTGCAAATGAGCAAACTGGCCCAGGAAGCAATTTCTTAGCAAATGTAACTTTCTGCCAGATAAAGACCACCAACAAAAACAGAAGTTGCTGGAAAAGCTCAGCAGGTCTGGCAGCATCTGTGAAAGAAAAAACAGAGTTAACGTTTCGGGTCTGGTGACCCTTCCTCAGAATTGACCACCAACAGATGGCTAAAGTTTGTAAGATAGCTGCTAGGTTGGACAGAGATGATAATAGTTTAGATGATGTTGACGGGATGGGGAACTCTGGAATTGGACTCACTCCATGTTCAGACCCATCCATCACTGACTTAAACCCATACTCTGAGCTCCAGGCCACTGAGGGGACCACTAATGGTGAGCATGCATTCTGCCACAGCTGTGTCCCAGCCAATAATCCATCACAATCCTCAGACTGTTCCAGGGGGAGGTGAAGGATGGTGGATAGCCTTCTCTAGCTGTGAGCCAGCTGGGTTTTATTGAGAATTCAGTCATTTCTTGGTGTCAATTAATGTGAGGGGCTTTTAATGGCTTTTTTTATTCATTCACTAAAAATAAATCCCAACAACAGCTGTGATGGGATTTGTACACGTGGTGACAGAGCATCATTTTCCCACAAAGTGTGGACCAGCCAGCATCTCCAGGAAGCCCCTGTTTCCTTGTCAAAGATCAGCCCTGACCATTCAGGATACTCCTGAGTGATGCTGATATCCACCCTCTGGAATGTGCTCGTATACAGTCCACACAGAATTCATTGTGATTCAGAAAAGCCATGGCATGGACGAACATCACTGAAGCAGTCAGAAAGAGATTGAGCAAATCCAGCACAAATATATCACAGGCAATAGAGAAACACACTTGCTGAAGCCATGGAAAGACATGCAGGGCAGTCACTAATATCACACCACTAACAACTTGTCCAATGGCAAAAAAATGCCAATAAACCAAAAGTGACAAAAATCAAAGTAGAATGGCAGGAAGCCAAATTTCATTGGGAAACACAGGACCAAGGAACAGGGGTAGGCCACTCAGCCCTGCTCTGCCATTCAATAAGATCATGCTGATCTGATATTAACCTCAACTCTAAATTGCTCAGTACCTTGAGTGTAGGAGTTGGGTGGTCATGTTGCAGCTGTACAGGACATTGGTTAGGCCACTTTTTGAACACTGAATTCAATTCTGGTCTCCCTGCTATAGGAAGGATGTTGGGAAATTTGACAGGAGTCAGAAAGGATTTACATGGATGTTGCAAGGGTTGGAGGGTTTGAGCTATAAGGAGAGGCCAGATAGGCTGGGGTTATTTTCACTGGAATGTGAGAGGCTGAGGGGTGACCTTATAGAAGTTTATGACATAATGAGGGGCATGGACAGGGTGAATAACCAAGGTCTTTTTCCCAGGGTAGGGCAGTCCAAAACTAGAGGGCATAGGTTTACAGTGAGAGCGGAAAGATTTAAAAGGGACCAGCTTCTATTTTATACAATAATCTTTGATATGGCACTTTATCAAATGCTTCTTGGAATCTAAATACGGTACATCCACTGGTTCTCATTTATCTACAGTACAAATTACTTCTTTAAAACTCTTCAATGGTTTTATTTTTGTAAGAAAATAGGGATGTTTGGGATGTGTACTGATATGCCTCCTGGCTTGCTGTACTCATGTGAATTCCACCGTGAGGCACTGACTCAGAGCTAAAACTAAAACAGAAATTGCTGGAGAAACTCAGCGGGTCTGGCAGCATCTGTGGGAAGAAAGCAGAGTTAACATTTTGAGTCCCGTGACTCTTCATCAGAATTGACTAGGAGCTGCTTCCTTGCAGTTAGTTTCAATAAAGTCACAGTACAGACTAGGTTGCTGGCATAAGAATGGAAAACTGGGATAAACTTCCAGCAATCTCTACTCCATAGAGAAACCCTGAGCCAAAGCCCACTGTCTCACTGGAGGGAGCTTACTCAGGGAACACTGTTTTGAATATTAATGGAAGCTGATATCTGGATTGCAAAATAACATCTAAAAGCCAAACCTGTGATACCACTTTCCTTGAAGAGTTTTACTCAGGTCAGTTTAGCCTTCCTGGAATATAGAAGCTGCCATTGTTTGAAAGGTCAGAGCTGACTTTGCTGAAGCTCTTGACCTCAATTGGAAATGTGGACCTGAGGAATGTCCTTGCACTCATTCAGTTCTGTTCAGTTCTGAATGACTGGATTGATATTTCTGTGCTTGAGTGGAAAGGTCTAAGACAATCATTCTCAGACCCTTGGAGTTGCTATTTATTACTCATGTGACTCAGCCAATGCTGTCTACCTTATATACTGCAGGCAAGGATGCTCTGAGGCATGGTATATTGGCAAAACCGTGTTGACGCTACGACAACGGATGAATGGACACCGCTCAACAATCACCAGACTGGGATGTTCCCTCCCAGTGGGGGAGCACTTCAGGGGTCAAGGACATTCAGCCTCGGATCTTTGGGTAAACATCCTCCAAGGTGGACTTCAGGAAACACAACAATGCAGAGTCACCGAGCAGAGGCTGATAGCCAGGTTCAGTACGCATGAAGACGGCCTCAACCAGGATCTTGGGTTCATGTCGCACTACAGGTTACAGCACTACTGCTCTGTATCTGTAAAATCTACCTTATTGTCCTGTTTTGACACCATCACCTTGATAAATTGTTATGATCTCTCTACCTTAACTAGTTCGTACAATTTTCGATTACTTATTACACTCTCTCACACAAACACACACAGACCCTCTCTCTCACACACACTTTCACACACACACATACTCACATACATACTCTCTCACACACATATACTCTCGCACTCACACTTCTCTCTCAATCTCACACACAAACACACGCACACATACACACGCACGCACACACATACACACATACACACAAACACACACATATATACACACACACACACTCTCTAACACACACAAACACACACACTCTCTCACACACAAACTGATAGATATAAGGGAGACGTCAGAGGTAGGTTCCTTACTCAGAGAGTGGTCGGGGCATGGAATGCATTGCCGGAGAGGGTAGTGGAGTCGGCCTCATCAGGGACATTTAAGCAGCTATTAGATAGGCATATGGATGATAGTATAAGGTAGGATTGGAGGTTAGATAGACCTTAGGTTTTGGGTAAAAGTTCGGCACAACATCATGGGCCAAGGAGCCTGTACTATGCTGTACTGTTCTATGTTCTATGTTTCTAACACACACACACACATACATACACATATAAACCTATGGGGTGAATTATTTCATCCACGATGTTTGTTTATTTGCAGATACATTCTATTTTGTTCAAGAAACACACAATTTGTAGTCACAGTCAGTCAGTGTGGCATTTTATAAATTCCTGCTTTCAGAATAAAACCAGCCTGATTCCAGGTTAAAACTCTAGACTCAGATTCCGAACAAGGCCTCATACCTACAATTTAGTGTCTGACCTGAGATGTCACCTTTTGTGTATTCCTATCGCTCTGCATGTTTGAAGTTTGGAAAGTTAAAGTTGGAAAACAGACTCTGATGAAACCTTTAATTATCTCAGGGCAGTGACTTGAAATAGATTCCGGAAATTGCATCTTAATCAATCAAAACTTGGGTCTCCTTTCTAACAGAGTTCTCTGTACCCTGTTTCTGCAGTTTCTAGAATGCAGGAATGCGTGAATGATTAAAGATTCAACAGGACGCTGTCAGCCAGTCATTTGAGGTTTGTTCACTCACACTCACACCAGTTTTATGATCCTGTGATCTCTCTGCCCTTTATCTCTCTGCCTATAAACTCTGTGTCTGTGTGCTCTCCTCTCACTGCACCTAAGGGGCTGCGCACTGAAAGCTTGTGTTTTCAAATAAACCTGTTGGACTATAACCTGGTGTCGTGTGATTTCTGACCTTGTCCATCCCAGTCCAACACCAGCACCTCCACATCATTTGCTATTTTTTAACATTGCTTCATCTGTCAGTTAGTCTCGGGACACATTCCAATGGAATATCTCGAGGTGTCTGTACAATACAAGCACTTCATCAGCCAGGATTGTTTTATTCTGAGCTCTCTCACTGTTTGACAGTTGCAGCTGTTTATCTATCTATATCTCATTATTATTAGGCTGACTGGCAGCTAAAATCTAGCAAGGTTGGAAATGACTTTGGTGCTATTTAGGGTTAGTTACAAGATCTGATCTGCTGCATGAGTTTCAGTTCACAGAATTTTTTTACCATGTATTCATGAACAAACTGAGCTCTCCTCTTTCCATTCTGCTGTGAAATGCAGGTGAAAGGCCAAAGTTCATAGTGTGAGACAAAGGGTTGTAATAAAATGGCAATAAGGCAACAACCTCTTGTGTTTCCAAAATCTCCTTACTTTAAAAGTTCTAGTCTCATTATTTCAAAATATTTTGTATCAAAACCAGATGCATCTTTTGCCTTTTGGGGTCATTATTAAGTCCTGATTGTCAGATATATTTGGACAGAGTCATTTCTTTCTCTTTGAGGCTAAGTTTTCAACTTTAAAAGAATTTTTCTCAGTAGCAAGTTAAGATTTGAAAGGTGTGGGAGGAATAGCCTGAAGACTCTGTGTTTTGAGGTGCTGCAGTAAAGATGTGTAGCGACATCTGATGACATTTGTACTGGCATCAGTGGGAAAAGAGAGAAAATCGAAAAGGGGAAGCTTAAAAATGAAAGTAAAGAAAG